AGAGTCTCCTCCAACACAAGCGTTTGTTTGTAGTGAAGTGCGTTTCTGTCGATCCTAAAGAACAATTTCACAATAAGGGAAGTTCCTGTACTTCAGACTTGGCTTAAATTGGCTTCGACTACATTCAGATAACTTTCTAGTGGAAGGAGGACAAGAACAGCGGAAGAGAATAGCTTGCATGGTGCTGGGCTGTAGCCTCGCATCAAGTGCGCAGCCTTCCCCAGTTAGTTGGTGTTGAGGTGGGTGTGCTATGCTTGACCACCAGCATCTCCCTGGAGCTGTTGTCTCCAGCTCCACCTGCCTTTTGTGGGTTACTCCATTTCCCTGTTTGAGTGTACTGATGCTCCCTAGGCAAGGGATGTGTTGCCAGACTTGATTAATACTTCTCAAGCACGTGAGATGCTTAGCCTTGCTGTGCAGAATGGGGATGTGCAGCTTTGCCGTGCAGTGGGAATACCTCAGGAGCCCTTTGGGGAGAGATGTGGGTGTCAAAGGGACACGAGACGGTGTGACTAGGAGCAGGGGATCCAGTTCTGGCAGTCATCCTGGTCCTAGTAGCTTGCAGCTGCCACCTGGCCCTGCTCCAAAGCCATGCATTTTTGGTGCAGAATATTTAATAGACTCTCCCTTCCCCTTGTCTTGTTTCAGATGAGGCCCGTTCCAAGAAGTGTGGGATCCTTGTTCACTGCCTCGCTGGCATCAGCCGGTCCGTAACAGTCACTGTTGCCTACTTGATGCAAAAACTCAACTTGTCCCTGAACGATGCCTATGACTTTGTGAAAAGGAAAAAATCCAACATTTCCCCAAACTTTAACTTCATGGGCCAGCTCCTGGACTTTGAGAGGACTCTGGGACTCAACAGCCCTTGCGACAACCGCTCGCCCAGCGAACAGCTCTACTTCACCACCCCCACCAACCACAACCTGTTTCAGCTGAACACTCTGGAGTCCACATGAAGGGGATGCCGCCTGGTTGGGAACTTGAGCATCGAATTGCTTCTCTTGAGCATTTCAACTCTTACAAAAATATCTGTCTTGCCAGGCAGCTCTGAAACGACTAGCTTCTCTGGGCAGAGGTGCCTGATCGCTGCTTTAAGAAGGCTAATGCCGTTCATTAGTATCCTGATCAAAGTGGTTTGAAGAGGTAGTCTTTTTACAGGGGGTTATTTAATACGGGCGATGTTACAGCGTTTTGAACGCAGCTGTTACCGGCAATAACCATTTTCCTGGGTGCATTGGGACTGTCAGAACACGCACACGTGTGAAGAGCTACCGGGGGTTAGCTTGTTGTCGAAAGTGAGGAGATTTATGCACTTGGAAACCTTGAACAAAAGGTGTTGGGCCAAGACTGTTTTAAAACCCAAGTTTACTTTTTTGATTTTAAAAAAAGAAAAGGTAGATCTCACTCGAGCTTTGGGTTCAAACTCTTTTTAAATATGTAAGTTCCTGACTGTTTGTACAGACGAGGTTGCAAAACCAGTATTTTATTCTGTTTCTTGTTTGATCATTTATTATTTTTTTTAATCAAATGTTTATATTGACCAAATGCATTTTGCACACTTTGTGAAGCCTTGGTATGTCCTGGCATATTACTGGGTACTCCAGAGAGAGATACATGCTGCTGCTGTTGTTGTTAGCATCTGGTAGGAAGCTTTGTTATGTGTGAAGGCCAGTTGGGCTTAAACGCAACCCCTTCACCACTCCTGCACTCACAATCACAAACTCTGCACTGATTCAGCCAAGGTGACTAAGCCGCAAGCTTTTTTTAATGACACCCCTGCCAAAAACACTGTTTGCTATTGCCAGAGGTAAAACTCTTGTAGCCTCCAGAGCTGGTAGAAGCATGTCTGAGCCCAGCTTCGTTCTCTGCTGCCTGTTGACTGACTTAACGTCATCCAGCTGGCCCAAAACCTTTCCAGCTTCCTGAGTACAGAAGGTAGTTGTGATGTTGGCGTTTCTCGTGCACACTCGATTCTTTCCCACGTGTGCGGGGTGGAGGGGGGAACACGGCGAGCGCCTGGAGCAGAGCAAGGATTGCGTAGCGGGATGGGACTGAATCGTCACGCACAGAGTGTGTGAGGGGAGTGAAGAGATGTGGAAATGATGACCAGAGCGTTGTAACAGAGAATTTTTTTATATATATTTGAATATATATATTAACTGGCAAATTCTGAGATGATTGGAGCTTTCAACAGAGGTTCTGACTTTTTTTTTTCTTCCTCTTTTGAATAACTTTATGCCGTGCCTTCTATTCTGAGAAGACTTGTTTATATTTCTGGCTAGTGTTTGGCAAACACCTTATACCGAGCCGGGAGGGGGAGGAAGTGGTAATAATTTCTGGGAGGAGGGCAGAACGGATTTGGAGATTTCTTTATTGGCTGCAATGTAGTCCCTCCTTTCTCCCCCCTCCCTGTCCACTTTAACTCTCATGTAACTGAAAAAAAAAAAAAAAAAGCCACGGATTTTTTCTAAATATCCATTTTTTTGTACTTTTTTCAAGAAAAAGAAAAAAATAATTAAAAAAAAATCTCCATCTGGAGGAATGTTTGACGCTGTCACATCCTGAAACCGTTCTTTTTGTTAAAGATGTTACCAGAATGTTGGAATGAGCTTCTCTTTCTTGTTTTCTGGTTGTTTTTTGTTTGTTTGTTCGTTGGGTTTTGTTTGCAACAATGTTGGGATCGTGGGTCATTGGAAGGGAGAATGGGCGTAAGTACGGTTGTGAGTGAGAAAATTGAGAATATCCTAATTGCATCTTACCTCATGGAGGAATTTATTTTTTCAGGGATTTTTTGACAGTGCATCTGTATTGCATTACAGCTAAGCTGGTTTGTAAAGGCTTCCTGTGCTGTTAGTGGTCTTTCTTCTTTAAAGGAAAAAAAAGATGCATCTTCTGGTTAGTACAAATGAGAGCTTGTTAGTGAGGAATGGTTCTGCTTTCTGAGTTATGAAGGAAAATTAGTGACCCTATATATACTGATCCAATATTGGGACTTTGTTTATATTGCAAATAAATATTATTTTTTCTTTAAAAATGATGTTTGTGTCAGATGCTTGTCTAGCTTCTGCCCATATAAGGACATGCTGCTCTTATCCGTTTTTTTATGGTTGATTAGTATTCTTCTGTGACCATGAAGAGCATTTGCTGGGCAGTGTTCAAGTGTGGTGTTTGGTTTCATGCACAGCTTAATTTTTAAGACCTGTGGTAAAATGGAGGGGGGGAGGTGGGAGGGCGAGGAGAGGGATATGGGGTATTGGATAAACCGGAGAACAAAGAACAGCTTGAGAATGGGACTGGCTTTGACCCTAGCCATTCCTCCGCGCCAAAAATAAGTAGATAAACTAAAGACACTTTTGTTAGCTGTTTAAGCATGACCTACAAAGGCATGGCAAGGCCTTGCCCACAACTGTTGTGATAGCAGACTTTATTTCGGTAGGAAAGCACGAAGTTGTGGCCTTGTGGGCAGCCACCTGATGACTTCTGGGTCTCACGGAGAGCGGGAGCCCCCTCCTGCATCCTCGGGTGGGGGGCCAAGCCCCAGGCCACAGTGTCGCACATGGGCCGTGCCATTCCCCTGTGCTCCCTGGCCATGGGTGCAAGCGGTTTGTGGGAAACCTGGAGGGGCTGATGAGGATGCTTTAAGGTGAAATGTGGCTCCAAGCATCGGAGTGCAGCCCAGCTAAGGGAGCTGTGGCTCCCCATGCCTCCGCTTGTAGCTTGGCAAGACTAAGCAGGAGTGGGTTTCCCCCTGCCCCAGCATTCCTTGTTTTAACCTAAATGGCAAGAAATTAAATGACTGTCTTTCATTTGTTCCTCAAACTGAGTGTGTTTGTAGTTTTGTTCTTCTAAGCCTAGGGCCTGAGCACCAAAGACAACTAGTTTTATTCCAGAAGGAGCTCAGGCTGATGGGTGCAGAGTCTGTCGCAGAGCAGGGGAGGTAGTCAGAGGCTGAAGCAGGAGCCAAGGGAGTGTGTGTGTGCGTGAGAACTTGTTTACTCCTTGACTGCATGATGGGAATTTATATATTGATTTAGAGGCCTGTTTGTGGCTCAACAAATGAAAATCTACCTAGTATGCAGGGAAAAGACCTTTAAGTTTTCCCCTGTAATTACATGGTAGAGTAGCTCTTGAGGAAGATATGAAACCATGCTGGAGGCTGGCTGTGCACTGAAGGAGTGCAGAACAGCTTGTCAGGTGTACGGCTATATTTGCTTCCATCTAATTTCCTCTTACGATTTTCTGCTAAGGTGTGGAATAGGATATTAGCAGTTAGCATTAGCTCTGTAAGCACATCTGCACGGTAGCTGAGTTGTGGCTGGCTGGAACAGCACAGCTGCTATTTGCGATGGCCTCGGTGGAAGAGGTAGAGTGCCAGCAGCTGCCAGGCTGCTCCTCAGCAGGCAGATCCCTCGGGGTACCTGATCCTGGGAGAGGCAAGTCTGTTGTGAGTGTCCTGCCACTGCTGCACTCAAAAGCCGCATTGCCAAAGGAAGGAGTTGGCTTGTCTGAAAACCATCTTGCCACCTGCAAGTGCTCTTTCCTCCAGGACGCGAAGGAGCCTTTTCCAAGCTTCCTGGCCTCAACAGCAGGGAGCAGCCAGGCTGGCTGGTACTCAGCCATCAGTGTTTTACAAATGTCTTGCACCATGCTTCTTGGCTCGGAGGGGTTTCCTTGGAGACCTGATGTCCTGTAACTTAGTGAGGAGATGAGAACTGACATCAGGAAAGGGGCAGTGCTGGAGAAATAGTTACAGAGAGAAAAGAGAGCGTGGGGTCTGTCTACACTCCCTTGCAGAGGCGGGCACGAGCACTAGCTGAGCGTAGGAGCATGGGCTGAGTGAGAAAGCTGGTTATGTTCAGATCGGTGGAATTTGGCAAGGAGATACTGCTTCCCACACGAAGCAGGGAGAAGCTCCTCGGTTAACCCGTTGATTCCAGACAAGCCACTTGTAAGATTCTCTGTGGTGCCTCCGCTCTACAAAAGCAGGTAATCTGCACAGGCAGAGAGATTTGCTGTCCCTGGGTTTTCACTTGTGATGCCACAAGCCCTCAGGCAATACAAGTGGGATTTTTTTTTTTTAATGGATGACCTTTTCTTACCTCTCTGATTTGATGAACAGTTGGAGGGACCACGGGTCCCAGGTGCTTTCAAAAAGTTTCTCCCTCTGTTTCAAGTCCTAGCAAAAGCACAAAGCTCTGAACACAGGTAGAGCTTAGAGATAAACTTCTGCAGTTCCCCACAAGGAAGCCCAGGTAGCTGATTTTGAACACTTTCAGCAGCCCTCTGCACATCACATTCCATCCTGCCTTCCTCCGTGCTGCCTGGCAGAGCCTGGCTGCTCACCCCAGCCGGAGAGGGAAGGGTAAGGAGAGCAGGTATGTCCTGAGCATGAGGGTGACTTTTTGGCATCTTGTGAAACAGGAGAGCAAAGAGTAGGTTCCCAGGGCAGTGCAGTGAGGATTACTTACAGTCATAGACAATGATAGAGAGACAATGCAAAGGCAGGGGAGATGTGCCCCAAACAACTGCAGGAGAGAGGTGTGAAGGGGTGGTGGAGGCAGCATCAGGAGCCCAACAAGCAGGACATGAGCTTGGGGAAGGGGCTTTGGGGTTACTTGTAGCTTGCTTTCCCTCGCTTGTGTCTACCCTTACCCCTCCCCTAGGCCCTTATTTCTTGGTGTGGCATCAAACATGCTCTGAGCGTGATGCAAGTCAACCTCTGCAGCTCTGAACTTGCCTGCTGTTGCGTCACCCAGAGATGCACGTGGGAAAGCAGACTCTTCCTGCCACCATCTGAATTTGGGTGCTCACATTTCCAAGGTAACCAGGTTATTTGTGGGCTGTTACTTTCTTTTTTTATCCTTTATGTGAGCAAATCAGGCTATCTGCAGTGTTGCGAAGGCATGTAAATAGTTCAGCTAATCAACACATCCCTGTATTTACAGCCAACTGGCACAGGCTGCGATAGTCATGCTCTGGGCTGCTCGGAAAGTGTGTGAAAGTGGGCTTTCTTCCAGGTTTTGTGCCATTTGCTCCTGTGCTTCCTCAAATCTTTCTCTTTATCATGCTTGAGGTCAGAGTGCTGGGCTGGCTAAATGTAATTTGGGATGAGAAGGCGGGTAAGGAAGTGTCCAGCAGGTAGGGAGAGCAGCTCATGGGAGTCCCATCCAGCCTCCACGTCCTGTTCCTGTGAGTTCCTCTATTCAAGCTGCAGAGTTCCCCTTTTGATGGCTTTGTCTTTTGACCATCTTGCTGTGTCACCCAGCAGCATGGGCTCAAAGGACAGGCTGCAGCAAGGCCACCCAGAGCTGCCACGAGGTCAGTGCTGGATCCCCGGCCCAGGTGTGAGATTTGGGTGGGAGACACCACCACAAGAGTGTGGCGTGAGGACAAGGTCTGTGCTGTGTGCTGGCGGTTGTATTGCACTGAGGAGGCTTGCCATGCCGGGAAGGGGGCAAGTGGGTGCTGAGGGCTGCCATGTCTGGCCGGGCGGTGTAGGGTCCGGGCTGCCACACATAGTTCAGCTAGTGACATGACGATGAAGCAGCAAAGGTGCCTGTTTCCTGGAGGCCATGCTCAAGTTTAAATGGCTGTTTGTGTGGCATCTGTGTGGTATCCGCCTTAAATTGGCGGGAAACCGTGAGGCGGGGAGCAATATGGCGTTGGACCTCAGGGCAGCTCTCTCCCCAGGGTGGGCAATGGCAGTCATTTTGTGTCCCTCCTCTCCACAGCATGCCCCTTCCTCTCATGGCCACTGCTACCCTGAGCGGGGTGCACCAGCCCCCCTTCCTAGGCCAGCGGGGCTTGTAGTGGAGGGAAAAAATTACCTCTGCAGGCACCGCCTCCTTTTCCTAGCCTGGCTATGTCTCTGCTCTCACCTTTTTCCTCTCCAAAACACCTGAGGAGCTGCTGTGGCACCTTGGGTGGCACCTGGGGGAACCCTGACTGGTGGCCTGGAAAGGCCTGAAAGACTCGTGGCCATCACGGTGGTACAGAAATGTGGCTGGGTCCTGCAAAGGAGGCGTGGGAGGATGAACAGCTGGAGGAAGAAGGCCCTGTGCAGCTGGCAGCAGCTGAGCCCCTCAGCCTGCAATGGCGGCGCCGGTCCTCGGCAGCCGTGATGGCGCTGGCGCCAGTGGTCAGAGGCTATGAACTGCTTGCAATGGAACTGTAAGTTTCTGGTGCCTCCGGGCTCCCCCCTGACACTTCCATGCTGCCTTGCTCAGCCATGTCACGACTGTTTTTGGGTTGGAAGCTGGGTCAGGGCAGAAGCTGTGGTTCAGCTTTGATGGCTCAGTCAAGGGTTGGGGATTAATTTTGCAGCAGGCACAGATGTCCAGGCTGGCTGTACAGCCCCAGACTGCTGGTGCCCAGCCTCTGCGGGCCGTGTGGACCCCTCAGTGCTGGGACAGTATGGACACCCCTCCCCTGCCTGGTGCAAGGCGAGACCACCAACGCTCTCTGGCCTTTCTTTCTCCCTTCTGGTTGGTTGTGCTCATAGCTGAACTTGCACTTGTTCTGCGTTATCCTTATTCACTTTCCCTCATTTCTCCACTGGTTTCTGTTTCTTCAAATAGTTGGAATTTGAGGTGCTCTCACCTGGCAGCTGCTCCTGCAAAGCTGCGGTCCTTCTTCAGGAGAACAGAGCCCTGGCTTCTTCTCAGAGACATTGGGGCATGTTGGAAATGGAGACCAGCTGTGCTATGGGGAGATTTAGGGGGGATGTGTGTTACTTCTGTGCTGCTCAGTGGTGCAAGCGATCCAAGAGCATGTAGGGCCTTAAGAAGTATCTGGTGAGGGAACCAAGTATGAGTGGAGGAAGGGGAATCCAGACAGATTTATTTATTTTCCGACTTTCTTTCCCTGGAGAAACATCTGGCTTATGTAAAGCCATTTGCTGAGTTTCTCACTGCTTTATTTTGAAAGTCTCTGCATTCAGGCACTCTGCTCTTCTCATCAACCTGCTCTTCTTATCTCCCATCACTGCCTCAAGGGTAGATTCTTCATGATTTGGGGTTTTGCTTTTATGAAGTTTAC